ATGCCAGTCACACATTTTAACGTTTTTAGAAGGTCTCTTTCTAGAAGTCTATAATATATAACTAAACTATTGTTGTATGTAAAGTAAATAAGGTTTTTAAAATGTTTAAGGAGCTTCATTTAAAATTAAATGAAAATGCAGAGCCCCCCGGACCGGTGGCCCAGGCCCCGGGCAGTGTGAGTGCCACTGAAAATCAGCTCGTGTGCCGCCTTTGGCACGCATGCCATAGGTTGCCTACCCGGGGTATAGGCCAACATGAGCCTTTTGAAAATCTCTCTTAGAGAACAAACACTGAGATAAACCATACAACAACAAAGGGAACAGTTCTTCATTTTTTTTTTAAATATGAAGAATAATGAATAACCTGTGTCAGCAATAGTGATTTCCATTAATTATATTATCTGCTTTTTCTGCTGGGAGTTATAATTTCCCCTCAGAACAGAACTTTCTAACTACCTCACATGATGAAACAATGTCCCCCTTACATACACACACTTTACCTGTGTATCCAGGTGGGCACATGCAAATGTACCCACTTCCAAGTTGTTTGCATGTGCCATTATTATGGCATGGTTCCAGGAAACACTCATGAAAAACCTGTCACAGATGGGAACAGTACAGTTATCAAAGACGTGGAGATACAACTATGTGTATTACATAGACAAATATCTATTCCAAATCTAAACAGCAAACTACTTCACTGTACCTAGCAAACCTCTAACTCATGGTCATAACCTTTTAGCGCTCCATATGTCTGTGACACAAATTCTGTTTTTATTCATTGACTTGTTCATTACTCTTATGATTTTAGTTTCTTTATAGAGTATGTGTATCTTTTGTTTGTAATTGTGTAAAACAATCTCAACTCACAGTTTATAACATAAAATCTAAGTGATGTGCTGAACTGTGAGACTATTCATTAGCAGCAATTTTCCAGCAAGCTTCTACAGCAAGTGCCTTCTCTGAGGTCAGTTTCCCCCTTAACCATTCTTTGCTCCATGGAGGAAGCATCTAGACAGCTGAAGTTAATACTTGTAATGGGAGTTTTGGGTGCTCTATTTAACAGTTACTAGATGTTTGCAGCTCTTTCTCTACAGAACCTAACAATGACTGACATGTAACAACATTTAAAAAAAAAAGTCTTTACCCCACAGTTCTCTAACATTTCTTTTTCATTCCGTTCCTCTCCACAGAGGTTGGTAATGTATCCCTGCCTTAGCCATCTGTAGTTACTGGGAGAGGTGACTTCAGGGCACACTGTGGACTGCATTAGGCCTACAGGCTGTATTTTAGCCACCCCTAATCTAAAAAATACAGAAATAAATACCCGAAGCTAGTGGCATGAAAGGGACTTTTTCAGATGTTAGCATTCTAGTTATTGTTATTTATTTGTACTTCGGTAGCAGGCCTCACTTCAGCAAATCACTCAAGCATGTGCTTAACTAAGTACATGAATGGTCCTATTGACTTAAATGGGAAAACTCCCATGCTTGCTGTATTGGGGCCTAAGTTTGTGGACTGCATGTATTATAAGCTAATAGTTCAGGTCTAATTTATCACTTACCAACTTTATTCATGTAATGTAGCTTCTCACAACCTGATTCTGAGACAGAACAACAATGGGGGCCTTTCATGCAAACCCACAGTCCTGGGAACAGTCTCCACTCATGTGAGTGGTCCCATGTATTTTGAGAGGGCTAATCAAAGGAGAAAGGATTTGCAGAATGGGTCATACCTGACCCATATCTGACATCTCTTCTTAAATTTATATAAATCAAAACAAATAGATGAAAATAAATACTTCGGAACCAGAACCTGGAAGCCAGAAGTAATCTCCTGGAAGACTAAAATGAAAAAGAGACCAAATAAAAGAGACACTGATCACCAGCATAGGAGCTACTGATCAGATGAGGGGCAGACCTGCCAACTGCAAGGAGTTGGGGGTTTTATGTTTTTTTTTTAATAAAAGTTTAGTGACATTTTTTATGACAGGCTAATGTTATCATGCTTCTAAATCTAAGACTGCCTTTGACTGGATCAAATCTCCTTCTCCCAAATACTACTGTTCTATTATTGTAGTAGAATTTTAAAATACAATATTTTAGTGAATCACTATTAAATTACCATTG